TAGAGCTCATTACCCGATACACTTGATGAAAACACGCGTTTTAGAAGCATGCAAAAGCGCTCAGTCAACTGGAGTCATGGCCTTGGAGGGGTTGATTTTTCGTGTCGGGGGAGTGATCACGAAATGATCACAACGGGGGATTTTTTCGAATAGCAGGCCTAGGGAAGAAAATCAAAGTTTCGCTGGAAAGTAGAAAGCTTCATGCTTCCGGCACAGTTCTTTTTTACGAAAGGCCTTGTATGAAGCTTGCCATGGATGTCCAAAGCGTAGCGACTTGTGGTTGGCCCCCCATGATCACAAGAGGATCACAACGGAGAAAAATTCCTAGAAAAGAAATGTTTTTGAAATCTCTCAAACTCAGGTAACAAGAGCCAACCTAGCTCCACTCATTCCTACTTTCCCTCTCCGAGAGCTTTACTTTCAACGAAGTTATGGGTGTTCAAAAGAGGGGTACTTTTCGAGTGTTTGGCTTGAAATTGGCTCCAGGTCGTAAAATAGCGCGCACCAATGCGCTTGTATTAGCGTGGGAATTGCACTCCTCGCGTGCGGCTGACCGCGAACAACTAGCATGCATTGCCTACGATTATGATGATTTACTTCATCTCTCTTGTTCATCTTCATCTCTTGTCTGGCCCTCGTCATCATCTTCGGCTTTTGTTTGCAACACCTGAATCTGGTTTTAGTCGTCGTCGTCCCACTCGTAAGTTTAAAGTATTTCTATGGCTTTGGAGCCGGAATCGCGCCGAACTGAAGGAATTACACGCGATTTTGTTGATTTGCGTTTCCTTAACTTTTTCATTTTTGTTTTATTTACATCTGCATTCGTTGTTCTTCATTTCTAGCCTTTGTCATCTTCATCACCTTCTATTCGGACTTTGAAGCATGAGCAATACCTCAAATTATTCGCATCAGGAAATTGCGTTTTAGAGTCCGGCATTTTTTCCAGGTGTAGGTTTAGGCGACAGTTGTTTGAACTGTTGTTAAGCCGCTCACTGCATGAGGCACTCTTTTCTGGGGTTCCTTCCAAACTTCTATTAGCTTTTACGACCCCCCCCCCGTTGTGATGATCAAAAAGCCGCTTTCAGGGACGGAGTCCCTGCAAAAAGCATAGCAGAAACTTGTGACGACGCGTGCCCTGCTGGCACGTCCCCTGTTGATTACGGGCGCTCGACGTGCCCGGTGATTGGGAAAGGCCCGAGATTCTCGTTAAAGGATAAAAAAAGGATAAATTCTTCGCCGTCGATCAATCACTTTGTGGGATGCGGCACGCATCTCACTTCCATTCAGAATCGTAGTGGCTTATTGAATGCGATGTGGCCCTATACAATGACTTGCGGTGGCCAGCCGATGTACAAGTCAGTGTTTTATCCCAGACGAATCTGGTACCAATTTACCGTCCCCGGAGGGTAGAAGGCTTGGTTGGCCTGGGCGGGAGTCGACCCGGGATTTGAACCCGGCGCCGCGCGAGTGGTAAGCGCGCCACTTGTCACTACACCACCTCCTGCCCGAGATTCTTGTTAACATGAAAAATAAACTTGAAAAGGGTCTCACCGATTGTTCTGTAATACTCCCATACGCAACAACCTCTTGAAAGCCTTGTTTTGTGAAAAACTCAGCACTCTTGAGTTGTACATTTGGAAAGTGTGTGGCCGTGTTTGAATTGCATAGGTTAAAAACTCTAATGAGTAAAAGCAAAGTTCGTGATCATTCACGATCACAGATAGTAGATTAGGGGTTTGCATTAGACGATAAGATTCCTAGTGACTCGATAGTGAAGAAAAAGTAGAAAGAAACATGCCAACTGCCACTGGTAGAGCCCCATTCCAATCCCTCTACGTGCACCCCTTATCCCTGAGACAGGGTAGGCGTGGCATTCGAACATGGCACAGAACTGGTTATCGTGGGATATTTCAATTTGAGACAACCGCCATCTTGTTCTTGTTGGACAGAGACGTGACCACATTTGGGTCAAAATGAAAATATCTCTCCAAAAGCATAGCCACCACGACGTTTAGTTGAAGTACGCAGCCACGCCTACCTCATCTCAGGGATTTCGAGTGTACCATCTCGAGCACTACTCCCTCTTCTGCACAGGAGTCCCCGGTAAGAGGCCTACGACCGCACAAGTGACGATTTTCATGCTTTTTTATCCTGCAGCTACGTTCTTCACTGGAAGGCTTAAAGGGCGGAGTCTGGAGGCGGAGTCACTGGAAGAAAAGGAGGCGTCACTGAACCTATATTGCGCTATAGCGCCCCTTCCGTACAGTTTCTTACCGCAAGACCGGTAAGGTTGTCAGCCAATATGTTGTCGAGAGGGCAGTGTCAGCCACACTGCCACCATATTTTCAACTTCTATACCTGATCGCGGACCGTGCCTTTGAGCCATATAAATGGATCAAATGGTTTGTTCCATATCACCATCGCGCCCACTGCTTGCACGAATCCCAGTTCTGGTGCCCTGAGCCAGCGCTAACCTCCCCATCCGTCTTTCTTATACTGACACACTGGCTGGAAGTCTTGTGAGTTTGCTATTTAGTGCACTCTTCTGTGTTCCTATTCTGAAATGCGTTTTGCTTTTTTGGCAAGCGTTTCTGAAAGAAAAGCATTTCGGCGTTTGAGTCCATTAGACGCTTATGTAGCCGGTGCGTGGTTCCTGGAGAGTGGATACGAGCTGTTCCTTTCCTTTTTAGTTCGGTAGTCGACGAGATTTTGTCCGAGACTTGCCTTCTTTTCTTTCGTCCATGCGAAGAAATAGATATATGCTAGGAAAGGCTCTTCAAAAATTGCCCTTGCGGTAGATCTGTCCTCCTACATCAATGTTTCATCGTGGCTTGTTCGCATTGAGAAGGTTGCTTCAGGTGTTATATATATCCCAAGAAAAGTCCCAAAAGAAGTGAAACTCTTCCGATATTCTATAAAACAGTATACTAAGCTTTTCTGAATCGTTTGTTAAGCTGTGAGTGTCGTGCTGTTGAAATTTCATTTTTTTGTGTCAGTGAACTTTCCTTAACATCAAATTACCGCCCCCCCCCCGCCTCTACGCTTCTGTACGGGAATATTCAAAATTTTGTGGAACCTGAAATCGAATCACTTAAACAAACTCAGATTCCCTTCCTGCAAAGTGTACACGCCGATTCATAAGAATAAGAACACATCTTATTTTGGGGAAATTTGCTGAAGCAAAACGACAATTTTTCTGTTATCTGTTGGCTTTACTCCATCCTAAGTATTTCTGCAAAGCTCTTGGATAAGCCTACGATGTTGTCTATCACACCGAAGTATGAATTGGTTCAGGTGTCAAAGAAGTAAAGCATGACTTCCACATATATTCCACCCCATCGCCAACCCTTCCCCCGCCACTGTCCTGAAGACAAACACATCTGAGTGTGGTCTTTCCAATGTGCGTGGTGAATGGGTCGGCAGCTACAGTAGCGTGCCGCTTCCTTGGGTTATGAGTGCAGTAACAGGATTGCAAGTTAGCGATACCCGGATGCGGTCTGCATACACTCGAGATCCCTGAGATCGGGTAGGCGTGGCCGCATGTTTCAACTTATCCTTAAGGCGTCTACGCTTCTGATGCGATATTTTCATCTCGACACAATCGTTGTCGTGTCTCTGTCCAACACAGAACAAGATGACAGTTGTCCCAGACTGGAATATTCCACTAGTAACCAGTTCTTTACAGTGTTCGAATGCTCCGCCTACCCGATCTCAGGGATTTCGAGTATACTTACCCGCGAGCCGCGCCGCTATCCGCCGTCCTGACCAAGGCAGAACGCACCATCTCTGCAGTTTTGCTTGGTGAAAATGGCACGCTACTACAGCTGCAAACCTGCTCATCTCACACGTGGCAAGGACCAAGATCTATGTATGGAAGCGAGTGTAGAGTTCGTCTTTGGCGCCACCCTCATTCACTATAGTAGCGCTGAATCCATTCATCAGATCCATAAGTGAAATTCAAACAGACCGTTCGAAAACAGCAAGGCCTTCACTGGAAATCCAACTCGAAAGCAGTTGGCGCGATAAGACGAGTAAGATTAATACCCTTGGCAGGACAGAATTCCGTGACCCTGAGCAGGCGCTGCGTAGCGCCTTTTCCAAGGGAGGTACCTTATGAAGCCCTATCAAGCTACAACATACCGACACGCACGCCCACAAATGGACGACCGTTCCTGATGCTTGTATTGCTTCATTTCCTAGTAAATTATTAGCGAAAAAACTGGT